GTGAAGATGGCAAGAGGAGAACCCTGTCCCATTTATGCATGTGTGGCCCCAGTGAGCCCAAACCAGACCTCCCCACATCCTTCCCTAGTGTTCATCTGGGCTGTTCTCATACTGCAGAAATAGCCCTATTTTATACAGGCTACTCCAGAAAACTCCAGTGGTCTGGGAAAGCCAAAAGCAGCACAGTGTAATTACACCTTTCTGCCAGACTCGGTGGCTGGCAAGGCTCAAAGGGAGTATCAGCCACTGGCATCTCTGTGCCATTACTGTCTGTGCCCTCCAACTGTGAGGAAGTGCTTGTGCTGGATTAAAATCCTTCTCTGGCCTCTGTGACCCACTGATGGCTAATGCCAGCTGCAGAGCAGAGTACCTCTCTCACTGCATCTTTCCCCAGAGCCATCTCAGCTAATAAATGCTGTCAGTGAGAAAAATGGCCCCAGAGGCCAGATTTCATTGTCAGAATCTGGCCTCTGGCACTGATGTCTCATTCACTTGTGACTTGTAAGCACAAGGCCATGCTGTGTTTTCCCTGACAGTAACTAACCCTGGCTCCTGCACACAGGAGGGAGTTTGGGTTGTCCTGGGCAGGAGCTTGGACATCCTCTACCTCCAGGTTCTCTTTCAGCCTCAGAACTCACATGTTCTGTCCCGGCACATGGGATTTTCTAAGTGCAAGCCACACGAGGGCCTTACTACAAGATGTGAAACCCCCTCCAGTAGCAGTCCTGTCTGCCATAATTTCATTATGCTTTTTTTTGGTTTTTTTTCCCCCCCCACATATTCCTCTCCATTCCCTGGGAGATGATGCAGGCACTAGCAGAAGGGGCTGACAGCTCTTCCCTCATGAGGGTGCCTTGCTGTGTGCTGTTTGACAGCACTCAGACATCTGAACAACAAATAAATCCACTTATTTTCAAAAATCAATCCTCACAGGAACTCCCCGGAAAGACAAAACTTGTATGGCAGTAATTATATTCTATAAAGTATCTCTTTATGCTTCACAGCAGTTTAAGGAAGGAACTCAGAATATGCTAATAAAAGAGAGGAACAAACTGAAGCACCGTTCATTCCATCCCCATCTGCTCTACTGCTGAGTTTGATCTATATTGGATCAAATTGTTGTTGTAAGAGGAAAATGTGGACTTACCCTATCTTCTTTAAGGGCAAACAGCATGCTGAGGTCATTTAAAAAGGTCACATAACCAGCTATAGCAAACATAATTATAATGTATTTACAGTGCCACAGTATTCTTGGTTGTTTGGGTTTTTTGTTAATAATTTCTGTTATGTACAGATTTCTGCACCTTTGTCAGAAATCACCCATTGTCATCAGCTTCTCCAGAGAGCTCACACACAAAAAAAGGGCTGAATGCCATCCTCATCTCCAGTCTGGTAACTACTGGTGAGCAGCTGTGTTAGGAACTGTGGTCAGATCTGCCTGCTGGACACAGTACCTGTTTACATTTGAATATTGCTTCCTAGCTTAGAGGAAATCATCTATTTCCATCAAGCCAGAACATCCCTTTTTCTCACCACTTATTTTTAGCATATTGTACTTACATTCTCAGAGTTCTTAACTCTGAGAAGGAGGTGTTACTAACATTTTTTCTGAGGCAATTTAAAATTTACCATTTGTAGCTGTCTCTCTGTGCCAGTCAGGTAACTGCTGCTAAGCCTGTAGAGAAGTCTCACACATTACACAATAATTTGTGGGGATCCTAGCAACAGCTGTGTTGGGTAAAAGGTGTCCATTATATTCCATGACCTAACATTTACCATGCTCAGTGAGCAGCACTCGTGGCTACTTCATTTAGGTAGTTTATAAAGCTGAACTGCTGAACTACAGAACCAGCCCTGTTCCCAGGGCAGGGAGCCACTGCTTGTGTTGTAAAGGCCATTTGACTGCACAGGCTGCTGTGTACGTGCAAAGTGCTCTCAATTAAAAAAAGAAAAAACAAACCACAAATAAAGCCCAGAACTATGCCCATTTCTTCTTTAGACAGATAGAATGGCTCCTGCTTAAGCTCACATGCAGTGAAAATAGTCACTGAAAGGAGCTCTTCCAATCCCCTGCAAAGGTTGTTGTTATTCACTATTTGAGTGATGACTGTAATCCATGAAATGAGAAGCTGGGGGGAAAAACTGTTCTTAAGGCACAGGCACTGCTTTGAGGCACAGAAGACTGCCCAGGCTTCACAACCCAAATCCACACAGGAACCAAAGTCACTCCTAAAGGAAGATCCCTGTCAGACACAAAGGACCTGCAGTGAATTTTGGTGCTGCAGTTTGCACTCAGAAGCTGATAAAGTCAGAAGAGATGTCAAAGGAGGGATGTAAGTGTCCTGTGATGGAGCCCAGCTGAGTTTGAAGGTTACATTGTTTTGAGCATCCTGGAACAAAGGTGTTTGGGTATCAGAGGCCTTTGGATGCTGTGTCTCAAGTGTCTCACGTCCTCATGCCTGGAGGGAAAGAATTGAGACTGCCATTTTGTACAGTTGCTTCTAATCATCATCAGCAGCACCTCAAGGCTTCAGCCAGCTAGTCCCCAATCAAGCCCTGGTTCTCAAACAGATATTTATAAATTCAGAATACTGCACTGCAGCAAGTGACGCTGGCATAAATTCCCATCTGTCATCCACTAATCATCTCCCAGCACAGTGATCAATCTCTTTCAAATTCAAATGATCTTAACCACTTAGTATCTAGAAAATACATGACAAGGAATGGGCAGTGTACCATCCAGGACAATTTAGGGGTGCTGACCTATCCAGCAGCTGTATGTAGCTCCACCTATATTACAGCAGAGACAGATATTTTTATATCTCCATCATCATCATCATCATCATCATCATCATCATCATCATCATCATCATCATCATCATCATCTCTGCCATAGTTCTCCTTACAGACTACCATGCTAGTGCAAGAATTAGTGTCAGCAAGGTTAAAATATGGTCACAAATACTCTTCCATCACCTTTCACCCCCAGTGGGTGATTTTTGCCCACCAGAGAGCAGGACACTGAGGAGACATTCAGGAGTTACTGAGAGACTGGCACAAGGACACAGTTGGTCACACACAGTGGTGTGCGATCACTTCCATTTTACTGAGCTTCAGACACCCTCTGAGGACACACCAAGGACCAGCTTAACACTGCCTAGGAAAGGGATGAAGGATTGAGGCATCCATAGCTTATCCACACTTTCCCTAAACAGTGTGCAGGAGGAAAAATACTCACAGATCCTGTGCTAAGACACTGGCATACTGGCAACTTTCTGCCACAGCCCAGTATGTATCTGTTTTCACAAAGTCAGTGGTGTTACTATATTTCATATCATCCAGCAAGAAAAAAAGCTATAATGTGATCCCAGGGAAAGCATTTCCAATAGAAGATACAGTAACCCTTCCAGAAAAAATTGGGTAGAGTTCATGTGTACTTTGTCACATCAATTTTCTAATCTGGCTCACCAAGCAAGGGTTGCTGGCCTTAGACAAATAACTTGCATTTCAGCACACTCTGCTACTGCTGTGGCTGGGAACCCTGAGAGAGGCAGGGGCAGAGGGTGCAAGGGACTGCTCATAAATCTGCTCCTGCAGCAAAACAGAGCAGGGTTAGAAGCAAGCAGCAGGACCCCTGCAATAGATAGAAAGTGTGAGGAGCAGGGCTGCTGTACCTGAGCACAGCATGGCTGCAGCATCCCTGCAGGAGCTGCTCTGACAGTCAGGCCAGAGTTACCAGCAGGGACCAATGCCTTCAGACATCCCCCTCGCTGCTCACTGGCTCCAGCTGCTGCTACTGGAATGTGTCAAGTGCAGAGGATTTAAAGAGAAGATGCACCCCATGGGTCACATCCAATATCTGTGAAGCTGAGCCAGTCAGCCTGGCTGGCCAAAACCAGCAGTGGCTGCAGAGCCATGATAAACACTCCAGCTCGAGGATTTCCTTGACAGTACATCACTCACTGCACCTCCAGGGCTCATCAGCAGGCACAGCAGAGGCATTTCTAAGCAAGTAAGTGAAAAATGACACAGCAGTTCTCTCTGTATCACCTCTTGTCTCCCACGTCTGCGCTGAGCTGAAATCAATGCAGTTGCATTCACGTTAATGGAGGACAGAATTGGGAAAATTCCCCTGAAGGCAATTTGAGACAGTACCATTGGAAAGATCGTGCTTATTTTTATTTTTTTTAATATAGGGAGTTGATTGTCATGTTTGGTTTAGGTTTTTTTTTTCCCAAGATACAAAATTAATACATTCAGTTAACAGAAAAATAGGTGAGGACTATTAGTCAAAATCATTCACTCTTCTGCAGTTCATTTCCCTGGTGGCAGAAATCTGCTCCCAGACAGCAGGCTTTGAAGGCATTCATGAAGGAGAAAGTTTTTTTCAGTGCCAAGTAAAGCAGTTTTTTAAAAAACAAGCATTTTCAGTTGTAGGACGTGTCCTAGGCCATCATTACCTTTATGTTACCAACTTCCTTTTTCTCTGGTTTAAAGGAATCTTTACAATTATTGTTGATTTGTTTTGGGAAATCCATCAAAGCTGCAGAAATGTTTGAAGCACTGAATGCACAGAAGAGGTGATTTACAGAACACTTAGGAAAGTATCAACTATGAACATTTGGCAGCCACTTGTACAGTAAACCAGATCTCTGATTTTTAAGTACTTCTTCAGGTATTCTAGCCAAGTGATTCTCTTATGGGAACAATCTTGTGTCTCATTCTAGTCAAACTGATAGTAGGAATAATAGGAATTTATTTTTTTTCCAATTCAAGACTACACAGTAAGTTCTAGCAAACGAGAGGAAGTAGTTAAAATTTGGCTACACCTTAGTGTTCCAGCAAATCTCGCAAGTACCACAAGGGCTGTTTATATTCCCTTCTCATTCATCCCTCATTATATGAAAAAGTGAAAAAAGCAAGGTGGGAAATAAGAGCAAGTGTGTGTGTGAGCATTTTTTCTCCTGCTACCACTCCCTTTGTGTGCACAGACAGGAGTCCCAGCACCCCCTGCTCAGGGGGTGGGTTCCAGAGCTGGGAGCAGGTCCACATGGTCCTGTCATTGCAACACCTGGTCTGAGAGACCTAGCTGGGGTGTTTTCCTTTTGGTATCTTGAACTTTAATAAGGTGGTCATGTTGCCAAGTTCTTGAACAACTCCAATCAAGGGCTCAGAAAAGCTAATGTTACATCTTAATAGCCTAACTCTGTGTTTCTTTCTTCACAGCAAACATCTTGACAGTCATCATCCTCTCCCAGCTTGTAGCTCGCAGGCAGAAGTCCTCCTATAATTACCTTCTAGCTCTAGCTGCTGCTGACATCCTGGTTCTTTTCTTCATCGTCTTTGTTGACTTCCTCATGGAAGACTTCATCTTAAACAAACAGATGCCTCAGGTACTGGACAAAATAATTGAGGTCTTGGAATTTTCTTCCATCCACACGTCCATTTGGATTACAGTCCCATTGACCATCGACAGGTACATCGCTGTGTGCCACCCCCTCAAGTACCACACGGTCTCCTACCCTGCTCGTACTCGCAAAGTCATCGTCAGCGTCTATGTCACTTGCTTCTTGACCAGCATCCCCTACTACTGGTGGCCCAACATTTGGATTGAAGACTACATCAGCACGTCCATGCACCACGTCCTCATCTGGGTCCACTGCTTCACTGTGTACTTAGTGCCCTGCTCCATCTTCTTCATCCTGAATTCCATCATTGTCTACAAGCTGCGGCGAAAGAGCAATTTCCGCCTGCGAGGGTACTCCACAGGGAAAACAACAGCCATCTTGTTTACTATAACTTCTATTTTTGCCATATTGTGGGCGCCAAGAATAATCATGATATTGTATCACCTCTACGTGTCTCCTATAAACAACAGCTGGGTGGTCCATATTGTGTCGGACATCGCCAATATGCTGGCACTGCTGAACACTGCAATTAATTTCTTCCTCTACTGTTTTATTAGCAAAAGATTTCGCACAATGGCAGCTGCCACCTTGAAAGCCTTCTTTAAGTGTCAGAAGCAACCTGTGCAATTCTATACAAACCATAACTTTTCCATAACAAGCAGCCCTTGGATTTCCCCAGCCAACTCTCACTGCATCAAAATGCTTGTTTACCAGTATGATAAGAATGGAAAGCCTATAAAAATATCACCATGAAGAGGCCAATAGCTGGAGTTTCCGGGTGCAAGTTCTTTACAAGTGGTTACATCTTCAGGATGTAATTTTCTGAAATGGCTGTTTTGAAGAGAGGTCATTTGATTTCATTTCCCTGGGTGGCCAGGGGCAGATCAGACTGTTGGGAGGAAACAGGAGCACTTGATTTTAGGAGCAAAAGTGAGAAGGCAAACACCTCCATCTCTTATATAGCATCTTGAATATGCTTCAGAGTTCAAGTCTTAGTGTTCAGTCACACTCAAACGTTTTGCATCCCAACACCAATGCAATCCAAAGTCACCAGAAGGGCAAAGCCACAGCAGTGTTTAATTACAACCTTTTCAAACACAACAAAACCTTACTTGACCATCAGTTTGCTATTGAGAAAGTAAATGGATGTTTTTGTGTACTCTGGAAGGTGCCATTTCTGAAGCGTGCGCTTGCCAAAAATTCCGTGTTGATTCTGGCATGAGATGCCACCACACACATTTGTGCTGTCAAGACCTCCTTGCAGGAGGCAGCCTGTGAGACACAAGTGGTGACAAGCCTGGTTTTGGCTCATTTGAACAAGGCTCGAGGACCAGTACAGTACCTGCTGCAGCCTTGGCATGGAAAGCAATCCTGCAAGCTGCCAATATTTGCGTGTTTTAAGTTGTTATTTAAGAATGTGACTGAGACAGGGGAGCTCAAGGGAGGGAGGGATGTTTCTAGAGCCAAGAACAAAAGCAGCATCTTTCCCCAGCTATTTCAGTCATGGTGTCTAAGTACTTTCAAGGGTGAAACCAAGTCCTGCCGAAAGCAGAGCTCTCACCAGAGCTGCTCCTGTGAGCAGTGATCAGAGCCTTTAGGTTCCTTCTCAATCAATACAGATTCTCAGTTATCCCCTATGTTCAAGCCTTTGGGGATTCACATATAAAAAACTCAGCTTAAGATTTTCTCCTGATGGATGATGCCATCCTATTGCAGATTTTCCATTTAGTTGCTAAACAAACAAACAAAACAAAACAAAAAACAAACTGTGAAATAAATTCATTAAACACTTAACAGCAGTAAAAACATTAAAGCCTTAGTTTAAGCTGATGTGTTTCCCTTATTTAAAGGTGGTTAACTTCTCTTCCTTCACACTCAAAAAACAGCATTCCATCAATGCTGAGTGTAGAAAATAAGGGACAGGAGGGCTGAAAATGCACTTCTTTTAATTTCTTTCCCTTTCAGATCTTGGCATGTAGTCTCTTGGAGCCACATGCCACAACCTCTTAATTCTACACTGGGCACTTACACTGGCCTGTGTGGTGTGAGGGCAGTGAGGATGTGGTGAACACGAGCCCAGCATGGTCAGTGCACACAGCAGCTCCTCAGGAGCTGCAGATCAGCAGTAGCTTGGTGCTAATGCTGTGTTTGTGCCCCTGCCCCTCTCCAGTGCCAGCAGGGAGCTCGTGGTGCATCAGGAACGAACACAGAGAGGTCCTCTGAGGAGGGATCCAGTCAGGCCCACTATGGTGGGATCAGAGGGCTGAAAACATCTCTCTAAGGCACATGGATGGCTCAGCTTTGGTGCAAATCCCCTAAGAAATGCCTGCTGTGAAAAAGAGCCTGGTTCCCTTCTGCCACCAAGGTTGTGTTTGCACAATACCTGGTACCCACATCCTGCAAGAGCCAACCCCAGCAAAGCTGAGCTCACCTTCCCCAGAAGGGAATGGCAGCAGAAGGCACAGGCCATGAAAGCCAGCCCCCCAAAGACACACAGGGGTGATCTCAAGAGAGACCCAGGCTCGCTCAGGAGCAGAGAGGGGATGCCCAGGGCCCCAGGACCACACACTGCCCAGGGACTCGAGTGGCAGAACTCTCAGCAATTCTCTGTGAGGTGCTGAGGCACCCCAGGGACCACACAGGCCAGAGCAAGGACAGGGGCACCTCTGGGGAAATGGGCTGAGAGCAAACACTGAGCCTTTCCACCCTCGCCCATCACAGGGATGGTTTCCATTTAAATGTCCCCAGAGAGAAATGAGGAGCTTCTCAGTCTGTTGGCTGCTCATCTTCGTGATATCAAAGCTTCACCCTTGCAATAATAAAGTGTTAAAGGGATGCTCAGCCTTGCTGTATTGGTCATGACAAGGTTAAAATTATTGCTCCCTTTATAGTGTTTTACAGAAAATCAGTTTTGTGGCCACCCTCCCTGCCCTTCTCTCAGAAATCTCCCTCTGGACTTTGTCAGTTGATAGTAACCAAAGTTACCTTATGGAAAAGGTAGTGTACATTTCATTTTGGAAAAACACTGTATTTATAACTTATTTTTATTCTGCATTTGTTATGAGGAATGCTTGTCTGAATTAAATGTGAATGAGTCTGAAGTGCAATATCTATATAGATAAGTGGTTAATTTTTGAGAATGTATCTATTGAAAAAATACCTATTTATACAAGAAGTTCACTATTCTACTTAATATAATAGTAACCTTAAAGAAAATAGTGAATGTTTAGGGCTTTTATTTATTAAAAAAATTAAATTAAGTGCATGGCATATGCTGCCATTCACATGCTGTGACTTATTAATTTTTGTAACATAATGTTTATCCTGCAAACTATCAGTGTCATCTGGTTTTTTCTGTCCTGATAATGTATTTTTGTAAATTACCATATTTAAAAACAAAAATCTTTCTGCGTATTTTTTTTTTCCCTATGAAAAAGAACGCATTAAATTCTTCTAACTTATTTGGAAAAACTCACAATCGTTTTCCATATCATTTTAGAAATGACAAGGTGCAATTTTCATGTACAGTGGATTGATCATTTCACTTCTGATAATTTAGGGCTTTAAGAGCTTGCTTCCAAAGCCCTTTGAAGTCAAAGGGAAGGTTGCTAGTGGGTTTTGTGGTTGGTTTTTCCAATCCCCATCATTTTAGGAGGGCTTTGCATCAAGCTGTATCTTGTTAGCAGACATTCAAAGCCTTCTTAGAGTCCAGTTTGGATAATAAAGCCTTGACTTTTTAGTCTGCCATATGGGAGCTGCTGTTGATAATACTTGCCTTATTTTTGATTGTGTGAAGCCTCTTGCAATGACTGTTGCTAACTAGCCATTGTCTTGCTGTATTATTTGTACCTCCTAATTTTCCAATAGTAAAAACTAAAAAAGCACATGTAGTGTCATTATTTAGGGAAAAACTATCCTGGAGACAAAACCATCTTTATTGTGGAGATGGTCTTTTGTACTCTAATTTTATTTCAAATGTCTACAATTAGAAAAAATAAGCTGTGAATGGACAGTTTTACAATTACTTATAGATATACATTCTTGAAGACCACAGCTAGGAACAAAATACTTTTTAGATGAGTTGCTGGTATATAAAATTATGGGACCTATCACCTATTTAAATTGTGAATATTGATATTTTCATAAGTAGACAATATATTGTGTTTGACAAACTTGTTTGTATTATAATAAATTATGGTGCATAACTTACTACTGTGTTTGGAGCTGTTGTTTGGTTTATGGATTCTTATATACTTCTGATTTATAGATACTTATGATACACTACAAATCAGACTGAGAAAGTGGATGCAGAACCTCTGGAGACTGCTCATGGAAGAAGCCCTACATTTATTGAAATGAAAATTTCTAACACTGCAGGCAAATGTAAAACTATCTGGGATCAAGTTCCTAATTTCTCTGGAGAAGTAAAAGGACATGAAAAGGACAAAACCCACTAAAACTAGGCAGAGACTAGAGAAGAATCTGACCAGAAAAGTCCTGTGTCTCAGAGCTCAAACACTGTAGGGTGAAGCACAGAGAGGAGAGGACCATGCAGGCAGTGTCTGACCTGCTTGTCAGATTTCCCTGCTGTAAAAGGCTTGGGAACAGGTTTTAAAATACAGCTTCAAAGAGACAAATGAGGAGAAAGGGGCACTTCAGAAAGGGGAAATGTCAGGTTTGATGGAGCTTATCAGAGTTGTTCCTTAAGGAAGGAGCCTGGGGTCTGCCTGTCTTGGTGCTTTCATTAACAGCTGTGGCATGAGAAGTACTGATCAAGTGCACAGGCTATAAAAATGGAATTATACTGCTGGCAGAGGACTGAAGGACAGGTGTTTCATGTAAGAATCAGATGACCTTGCAGATTGCAGTGATAAAAATGGGATGAATTCAATAATAATAAACACAAGGTTCTCCACTTGCCTGCCTCTAACAATACATTTTCTGTAAAACCTCAGCAGTCAGAAACAACCAAGAACCCAGTGGTGCCAGCTGGGCTTGAATGACAATGAGTCACCAACAGAAAGCAGCTGAGAAAAATCCCAGAATGTAATCACAGACACTTCTAACGATACAGCACAGTATTAATTGCATTTTATAAGACTTCATGTGCTACATGCAGATGTATATAAAGAGATAAATAGCAGTGCATAAAAACTTGATGAAACTGAGATGGAACAAAAATAAGCAGTTATGAATTTTCCTCAGGTAAATTTGTCCTGGCAGTTAGAAGACATTCTAAAGCAGGGAGGCTCAGCAAAAGCCTTGCTAGAAGCCAGGCTGGTTTTAAATGGAGCCTGGTAGGTTCACACATAGAATTATGAGATGAGGCAGGTGGCAAAACACATTGGGACCGTGCTTCCTTGGAGCTGGCAGGTCTTTAACTCAGCTTAAAGGACAGCAGAGGTGTCCATTCATCCCATCTCGTGCTGAGGGGCAGTGTGAGAACCATGAGAGCCAGCAGCTACTCAGAGCAATTCCTGCAGTGAGCCACAATTCCTGCAGTGAGCCACAATTCCTGCACTGAGCCATGATTCCTGCACTGAGCCACAATTCCTGCACTGAGCCACAATTCCTGCACTGAGCCATGATTCCTGCACTGAGCCACAATTCTTGCAGTGAGCCACGATTCCTGCACTGAGCCACGATTCCCTCAGCAGCTCTCCCTGTGGGTGCTGCAGGTGGGACCTCTCCAATGCAGCCCCACTGAACTTGCACCACCTTCTGCCTCAGCTTTCAGTTCTTTAAACATCTCTTTAAACCTGACAAAAGAGTAGAAATTTTAAAAGCAGCCTCATACAGTCCTGAACAATTAAATAATAATCCTGCTCTTAGCAGGCTGGGGCTGGATTTGCAGGATCTGCATTTCTGACAGTATGCAATTAATTCCCAGGAGTTGCCAGACACACCAAGGGGGTTGAAAGGCTCCAGCCTTTTGTAATAAATAAGCATCAAAAATGAATTTACTATTAGCTTCCTACAGGGAACCAAATACACATAAATAGTTATTACAATTACAAAATCGTGTCAAAAAATATCAAAGGCTCATGTTTTCCTGCCTTGCCAACAGGCTAGAAATGCTGCTCCACCTATTTCTCCCAATCTGCACCTTCTTCTAGCAGACTAAATGGACAAGTTGAACTGCAGGCAAAAGTATGATATTGAATATTACAGTCTTACAGATTAATTTGCTACAACAGAATGTACTGAAGACCTTCAGCTGAGCGTGGCTCAGAATTGGCTTGTGCTGTACAGCACATAATGAAACAGCCCCTGGTCTGAGGATTTTGCAGGGACACGTGGTGTCCAGGCAGAGCCTGGTGTTTCAGCAGGTCCATCAGGTGCAGGTTAGCCTGGGAAGGGCAGTAATAGGGAGCAGAAAGAGGCACACTGTGATGCTGTTCCTGCCATGGCAGGGAGAGACCCTGGGATGGGTTCTGCTGCTGGAACCTGGCTCCAAATTAGGCAGTGACCCCCAGGGATAGGCACAGCCCTGCAGATAGACAATGGCCTTCACACTCCCAAATAAAAAGCAGAAAAGGGTTAGTGTCACAGGAGGGATCAGCTTCTGGTGGCCTAAAACATCATTTCTCCCACCCTTCCAGTGTCACAGCCCAGTGAGGCAGCCCATCCAGAGGAGAAGTGCCCAGGCCCCTTGCTGTCCCTGCAGATCTGCCTTGCAGGTGGGATTCCCCTCATGACATGAAGATGTCATGTAGAAAGTCCTCACCAGCCACTCATCCCAGCTAGCAGAGAGAAATTAATCTCAGCCACTGAAAATGCCAAAATGCAGGAGAGGGGACACATGCCATGGTCACAAGTCGTACATTGTACAAATGAGGACAATGAGCCCTGCCTCCACCAGCCACCCTGCCCACTTGGCAAAGGGCAAAGAGTTTAAACAGCCAAGACTTTTCCCTCCTGGATTTTATAATGGAGTTTGCAGCCCAGCCTCAGGACAGCCAGACTTTCCAACAGGATTGGAGACACTCAGCCTTGTGAATTAAATATCACCGTGAGCCTGGTGACGGGCAGTGGCTTCCAGCAGTACCTTCCTAGTCATTTGTCACAGTCATCTTTGTAAATGTAACTGATTCTGCTGGACTGAGCTCCCACAGGTTTTTGTCCTGCAGGTGCAGACATTTAGCATTGCTGCATTTCTAGAATAAAAGTGTGAGTAAAAGACCAAATCTGAGATGCCATGTTCAGGAGGAAATCCATGAGCCTATGACTAGTGCACATCTCAGGTATTGGGCTAAAATCACACAGGGCTGCAGCTAAACAAAATGGTTCATTTTAGCAAACATTGCTTAAAATGGTCTTCAGCAGAGATCCAGTTTCCTGAATTTATTCTGTGTGTGTTTTATTTTTAACAGGTCTCCACTCTCCCCCATATCCTTTAATGAAGAAAAATACATTACAGACTGTGGAGTTTCTCCTCCTTTTTCTTTCATGTACTTAAGAGTTTCAGAAAAAGCAACCTAATTGAACTGTGGGCAATTTTAAGGAAGGGACAACTGTGCCCAGTAACACGGGAGCAGAGGAATAATTTACATTACCTCCTCTTTTAAGCTTTATTGCTGGGGCCAATTTAGACAGAAACAACCCAACCCCCTATCTCTTGCTGTGCATCCTGAACAGGTCAGATGATGTCAGATAATTGCTCTGCTTGTGTTTAAGACAAGAAGTTCATGTTGGTGATGTTGAGCCATGAGGTGCAGCATGCTCCAGCTCCTCCAGGAGCTTCTGCTCTCTCTGAGCTATCAGCCCAGCTCCAGGCTCAAAAATGGTCACCTGTCCTCCCCCTGTCACCATCACAGCCCAGCAGCCCACTCAGACCCCCTTTCCCTTCTCACCCTGCCCCTGCTCACAGACAGGCAGGGCTGCAGGGCTTCCCCACACCCTGGCCCTTTGTCCAGCCACTGCCTGGCAGGGACACTGCAGGCATCTGCTGCATGGCAAGTTTGCATGGAGGCGAAAATGGGGAAGTTTGGGGAGGTGCTGCTATAAGCAACCCCTTATCCCTAGACTAGAGAGCAGTACACAGAGCTCAGGGTGAGAAGCCAAGACCAGAAGATGCTACTATTTTGATTTTGAATTGTAGATGTCAAATTAATCATATTGTCTACAACTCCCCAATCTGATCAAATTTATCACCAATAGAGGTTGTGTAGGCAAAAATTAGCTGAAAGCTGCTTTATAGATTAAAGCTGACTCAGATTAGAAAAGCACAAACTAAGTACAGAGAACCAAGGACTATCCTGATATATAAAAGCATTTGAAAGGAGTCTCCCTCAGTGCCAGCACAGCTCCAAGTGGACCAGAGGTGCATCCTCCCCCTGCAAAGCTCCACACACCAGTGGTGAGGACAAGGAGCAGCCCTGAGTGCACTGATGGGGTGTAATGTGCCCAATGTGGGGTGTAAAAGCACCCTCAGTCTGGCTGATCCAACCAACAGGCACAACTGCAAGTCATCCAAACCACCTCTTGAAGCTGCATCCCAGAGGATCTCCAGCAGACATCTGGCCACAGCTGGCTGCTTAATCAGCTGCCTGCAGGAAGAGCCTCATGCATAATAAACCAACTTCATTTAAGCCGATCTTGCACTGGTGTGACCTTTTCCAGGAGTGGGTTTGGGTAAACTCCAGCGATCAACAGCACTGAAGCTCTGCAGCTGCGGGAGGGGAGGCTGCGGCTATCGGGGTGTGGGAGCCCAGGGGTGCAGCCAGGAGCAGAACACACAGTGTTTGTGTCTGTGAGCACTGCGGGGAGATCAGCAGCACTCGGGGGATGATCAGGCTGCACATCTGCGGGCTGGCTGGAGAGGCTGCTTTACATGCAAAGCCACCACACGGAATGTGAGCTACAGCAGCGGTGACTCAGAGGGGAGAATGAACGGGGAAGGGAGGAAATGTACAGTTTAATTAAACTACTCAGAATTATCAAAGTGGGGAAAACAGAGGAGCAGCACAGGGAACTCCAGGGGCAGTGGCTGTCACCTCATACGGGAGCACATTCGTGTAAATTAAAGGAATTCCAATCAAGAGCATCAGTGGGTCTGGAGGGAGGAATCCAGAGACATCAGGACAAGGTTCAGGCCACTCAGAGTCATAGTATCATTTAGGTTGGAAAAGACCCTTAATCACCTTAAGTCCAGCCGTGGTACAAAGCAGAGAAAGGCCAGAGTTCCTCTGATCA